ACAAGCAGCTCCACAGGGCTTTTCCAAGATAAATCAGATGTGATTTGGAAAGATCACATCAGGGGAAGGTGAAAGCTTGGTTGGCCTGGGACACCTAAGCTCTATTATCCCTGTCCAGGACAAAAAAAGTCTCAAGTTGCACTGTGGGAGGCCTAAGTTGGATACTGGGGAAAACTCCTCCTGGAAAGGGCTGTCCAGCCCTGGCACAGACTGCCCAGGGCAGAGAGGGAGCCACCATTCCTGGAGGGCTTTAACAGCCATGTGGATGTGGCACTTGGGGACATGGTTAGTGGTGGCCTTGGCAGTGCTGGGGGAGCAGTTGGGGTTGATGGTTTCCAAGGGCTTTTCCAACCTTAACAATTCCCTGATTCCATGATAGTTAAGCTCACAGTGTTTTCACTGCAAAAAGGAAGTCCTCCTTGACCAAAGTTAGAGTAACACCTCAGCCTTGAACTCCAAGTCACTGCAAGGCCAGAAGTGTCCAACTAAGCCTTTTAAACCCAAGACTGGCACTTCCAAAAGATTTTTCTTAAAATTAAGACCTTCTCCAAGTCTTAAGGGCAGGGAATGTGGATCCTGTCCCTTTCCAGCAGGTGAGGACATCCTCTGCCTACCCAGGGGTGGAGAAGATGCCAAAAGCTCAGTCCCACCTGCAGCAGAGCAGAGCCTAAATATGTTCTCCTGTCCCTCAACCTGAGCTCCTCAAACCTCACCAAAGACACATTGAGAAGAGCCTTCCAAAGGTTTCCAAGCCTTCCAAGGGCTTTGAAGCCTTCCTAGCTTGGCCCTGCTGACCCTGCTTCTTGTTCCTGTGATGACAAGAAGGTGGAGCACCAGCTCTGTTGGCCATCACACCATGTGTCACCTCCATCATGGGTCTGCCTGCATGGATCAGCCTTACCTGAGTGCAATCCTCCATCTGGAATGGGCTAAACCACCTGAAAGAATCATATTGAACCACCACCTGTGCCCTTGCTGGGTGTTCACCACCCAGTGTGAGTGAGTTTTCAGCCTGGGAGAAGCCATGCACAGCACTTCCTCAGAAGAGTGGGAATGGCGCGTGCACGAGCCCAGGCTGAAAACTCAACCCTGTGGTGAGTGTTGAGTGTGTGCTGTGATGAGTATGTGGCAGTGGCCACCACTCCTCATGGGTTTATGGAATGACAAGTCCTGTGTGTAGAGGTAGAGTAAAAAAAGAGCTCACTTAATCCTTTCATGCCTGGAGTTGGGATTTTCCCGGAGCGACGTCCATTGCCGGCAATGGACACACCAAAATAACGTCGGCACCACCGAGTTAACCACCTCTGTCCTCTTTCCACCTATCACACTGCTCATGCATCCTCCAGCTTCCCAACCATCTTCCTGGCTCTTCACCGCTATGTCCTCTCCCTTCTTCCGCTCGGAGTTGAAAATGGAGTTGAGAAAAGGAGACACATGGTCAGCTCTTCGCTGCCCCGGAGAAGCTAGATGGAAATGGTTGAAATTACAAGGGGGTCATCAGCAAGACTGGAGAGGACATAGCTTAAGTCATGAGGTTTCAGACCCTCCCACCCCTCCCCAGCCAATGGGTTATTGGAGATGTTCAATCATGTCAAAAAAACCCAGTTTGGATGTGCTGGAAGAGGCACCTGGGGGTGGTTATCCATCCCCTTTCCACCTGCCAGCCTGGTGCTGTCTTTTAGACCTCCAGGCTGGGCTGTGGTGGCACCTGGAAGCTCATCAGGTGAGAGTTGGACAGAAGTAGTTAACTCTTAGAGCCATGAAAATCCACAATAGAGTAAATTCCCAGCTCGGTGTTTCCCTATAAATGGTTTCTAGGAGAGAAATGAGTTGTTCACGGCCCCATGGAATGCTTCAGCTTTTTTGGGATGGATTCGTTGGGATTACTATAATGCTAAAGCTCAGGAGATTCAACCCCATCCCCACAATCAGGTCAGGAGAATCCTTGTAAAACCTGAGGTTAATTAATAGATACAGAGAGGATGTGAATCCACATTTTAAATAGGAAATGGGATGTGTCAGGACTCCATGACCCAACCACAAGCTTCAGCACAGGTCTGGAGATACTCAAGCTGAGCACTTCCAAGCTCCAGAGAGAACACAAAACACAAATCTTAGTGATAAAAAAATACTGTCAGGTCATTTTTGGCCTCAAACCAATATTTTGTAGGAGTTATGTGGAACTCTACACATTTTATTAATGTTTTTTAACATTTTTCTGTGGAAGAGATCACGGCTGGTGGCCAAAACTGAGTGTGGAAACCCAATATATGTCTGTGTCCAAAGCAGAGTAGGACTAAGGCTTGACTTAACTTCTAGTTTAAACCAACAGGTTGGACTTGGATGTCTTTTCCAACCTTAATGATCTTATTGGCAATGGATGGGAAAGGCCTTTTTTCAATTTAATCCATAAATTCCACCTGATAGTGTAACTTCCATACGAAAACCACAGAAATATTATGAGTCTGAAATTAAAATCTAGGAATTACCAGATCCACTTGGAAAAAATAGGGAAAACACCAAACCACAACCTAATTTCTCTATAGAAATGTATTTTAGCAACATAAAACATAAATTTGCTTACAATTACTTCCACTAATTGAAACTAGGCTGAAGGTTCATTAAGAGAAGGGCGGGAGATCCTTCAATGCCTATTCCACCAAGCTAGAAGCATGGCAACACTTTTGATTCCTG